ATCTCTTTTCCTATTAGCAAATTTATTTCTGTAAAAAACAGAACCTTTCTCAAAGCTTCATATATTTACTGTTACTGGACCTATCAGGGGACAACATTGCCATCCTTTCTTACTGGATTTTTATGAAAGAATAAACATATTACACTGAAAGAAATGAGACAAACATTGTGCTCTGTAATTTTTCCAACACCCACTTTATTCCCTTAGTTTCCTCTGAAAACTCTTTGCAACATGAACATATCATTATTGGTAATCCTGTTAGACTGAATATACTTCATGCATGACAATCTCTTCAGTGTCTCACTTCCATCTGGGATTTCTTCATCAGAATACATATGAAACTTAATTTCATTTCATAACTTAAAAGAATGTTCTATTTTTAACATTCTTCATCTAATATCAAACACTACTTTTCTCCTTGATTTTTTTCAAAAAAAACTTTGACTAAACAAAAAAATAAGGTTTTTGTTTTGTTTGTTTTTAAATGAAATGCATGGTGTTTACTAAATTTTAGACTGAATGGTAAGTGTTTTATGCATATACAAGCACATTTGACTAGCAAAACATTATTTGAAAAAGGTCCTAATAGAATGAAATTATGGTCATCATTATTGGAGATACAAATGAAGTTGGGATAAAGAGATATGACAGTCTTTTTTTTTTCTTGGTCAAAAAATCAGGTAAGATACATAATTTCTTCTTTGGAATTTTTGTGCATTTTGAAGTGCTAGAGTTGTTGCTATGTTCTTTTATTTTCACATTGCCGTTTTACAAAACTTTACAGTTAGCGGAAATCCAACTGCTCATTTGTTTTGCAAGCTTTTCTGATAAGAGAACGGTTCTTCAGGATAAGTAACAGCAGGAACTGTATTTTTACTATTTGTGAAGTACCACTTCCTTGCCAGAACAGATTGAACTTCAAAACCTGACTAAAAGCACCATACATAGTTTATTTATTTGGAAGATATAAAAAATAAAAGCCAGACCTGGGGTTGCTACAATGGTATTTCAAATAAACTATAGTGATAGCCAAGTATTTGTCAAAGGCTGAATACGCTTTTCATCAGCCAAACTATTACTCTGTTCCTGAAGTTAGTAATTGATTGCTAACTTAACTGCTTTATTGCTGCTCAAACTGTCACACTGTATCCAGAGCACAGAAAAAAAGTACTCATAATTATGGATCTATTCCATCTTTTTATTTTCTTTAATAAGCAGTGGTTTTAATGGTTGCTTAATCAAAAATTCTAGTCAGACTCTTTTAATTGGTTTTTGACCTACATTCTATTATAGACCTGATTAACAATTCCCTAATCAAAGCTGAAAAACATTCTTCTTTGTGTTCAATAATTTAGAGATCCATATGGGAGCTGTATTGTTGCTCTTAGTCTCAATGTGAATTTAGTTCATTCTATGCATGTAGTCTTGAGATTCACTTGAGCAAAAATAATTTCAAACTCAAAAAAAACGCCTAATACATCCAAAAATGCAATCAGTTTCTAAAACGTACTTCTTCGTTGTTAAAGATATCTACAAATTCAATCACCATGTATTTTGCTAATTAGCAAAATAGCATATTTGTTTTACAAGAAGCTCCTAGGACTAAGCCTTAGGATGATTACTTTGAACCATGTGTCCAGACTGCTTTTGAGGCTATCAAGTTCTAACAGGCAGGTTTAGGAAGGACATTCCCATTCACGAACAAGGCACAGAAGATGACAAAAACCCCTCTCTTTAGCATCCTGCTTCCCTAGTGCCAGGAAAACAAGAGCAAGGTTTGCAAATATTTCCTGACCACAGAATGCTGCAGCATTGTGATTAAAGGTTTTTAGGGTCAAAGATCTGCTTAAATCCCACTGGCCTGTAAATCACATCATTCCTGTAGCCTCCAGAAAACAAGAGAGTGATGTGAACAGCTTAAAGACCACACAGTCTTTTCCCAGAGAAACAAATGCCCTATCACAGAGGGTATAGCTTACAGTACAGGTGAAGAGAAATGAGGAAGCCTGGAAAGCAACTCACTGATCTTAGAGGACTTGGTGACTTCCACACTATTGTGGACTTCTTGGTCATCCTGAAGCTCTTCCTAAATCAGGGACCCTACCATGACAAGAGCCTCTTGCTTTCCCTCCAGCCTTTTTCCTTTGCCCTTAATCCACACAGAAAATTGTTGTCTGGTTTCAGAAGTGCTTTATGTTTAGGGAATTCTTTCAGAAAGCATCTCGGTTGTCTTGCTGTTTATGCTCTCTTCAGTATACACACAGACAAGCACTATATATCTGATCACTGTCCTCTTGGTGATTCATTCAAACAGTTGAACAAGGACTTTTACAGCTTACTGAGAAAAAACTCCAAACTGTGTTGTAGCTCAAACTGTCCCTCAGTGTATTGACAAGTAAAGAATTTGGAGGAAAACATGGTAGTGCAGCCAAAACTTTCATCAAAAACTGCATGCACAAGGCTAAACCCAAGGTATTTAATCTAATTTGCTGATGACTTTAGCTGCCTGGTGGGTTAAAGCAATACTCAAACCTTAGAATTACTTAATGAGCATTCTAAGACTATGGATCAGGGAACAAGTTCACTTGTTGATAATCCTGTGACGTATTTTTCACAGCCAGGGAATTTTATGTATCAGAATAGACTTTTTAAGGAATAGAAAATCTACCTTACATGCATATTCAGTGTGATGCCTGATGCTTTGTCAGGCAGTTTTCCTCAGGGAACTGTGTTGAAATTCATTATAAATATTCAGCTTCAGACATGTCTGCAGATAAATTAATACAATCCAGTAGGTAATTCCTCTTTTTCAAGAATCAGACACATTATTTTCATCACCAAGAAAACACAAAAGAGGCATATTTTTATATGCCTTGTGAATAGTGCATGAGAAGCAACATAATGTGATTGAAGTTCTTTTAGAAAGGTACTAGGACAGAAGATGAAAGCTGAAGAGATTTTGTGTCCTACATTGCCTTATAGTCATAATTTTCTCCAGAGTTTAAAATTGTAATGAGTTTATTCTTATTATATACTTTTGTACACAAACATACACATCTACTGTTATGAAAATGTATTTGGTCCTTAGTGTTATTTTCCTACACTGTGACAGGAGAAAAAATTTTCACATTTTTAACAAAATTAAAAGTCACATCTTGGGTGGCTATAGGGATTCTGATGGTATTTATAGAATCAACAGGGATAAAAAATAAATACAATATGAAATTCAGAATCAATCTTAAACTCAGAAGAAAGATTACACTAATAAAATTTAGACCCTATCAGGTAGGCATTATCAACACAAAGGTTATCACAATGTTGTTTGAATGTTTATACTAAAATCCCCAAATTGCATGCAAATGATAGAAACTATCAGAGAAGACAAGTGAAAAACTCAGTGTGAAATGTACTTTTATGTCAAGGTTATAAAAGCTACCCATTTATGCACTGCATTCACTATGTCTACAATAAATTAGATGCCATATAATTTAATCTAAAACACACATTATGATTTCTGAAGCTAATGAAGGATCTGGGAAAAAAAACTTCAGAGAGCACACACAAAAATTGCCAAGAAATCACTAGGGGTCTTAAACTACAGAAGGAAGTGAACTGTAATTGCTTAAAATCTTTATGTAAACGTTTAGCTAAAATAAATGATAGAGACTACAAGCTCAAAGGACATTCCTGCCTATTGGGTTTAAAGGCAGGTTTAGATGCCAACTGAGCAGGGTATGATCACTTTGGAATAGCAACTGTAGTGATACATTCTATTCAATTACATACTGAGAAAACACTTATTCTAATATGTGTCAAGTTTCAGTCAATGTGTGTCAAATTTCAAGCAGAGTGTAACCTTTCACGGAAGAAAGTTTCAAAATTTTCATGATATATAAACATAAAAAAGGAACTAAAAATATGTGTTAATAAGAAAGATGAGCATCTGAATTTCACCGTGGAATAAGACTTTATGAGGTTAAATGTGGAATATTTTGTGGGGGAAAAAAGACAAACAAAAAATCAACAACAAAAAACCCTCACCAAACTCCAAAACCAAAACAACAGAAAAAGATACTTGTTTTCTTATCATTGTGCTAAAATAACCGTGCTACCATTCCTTATGTATTATTTTATTAGCACCTCAATCATAGAACATTCAGAATTTTAAAAGATTAGCTGCTGGTAAAATGAATACATTAAGCAGAGAATATATATCCTCATCTGGATTGCAATAGATTCTTTATTCTTCCTCAGTACTCTAAATTTAAAGTGAATATTGTAACAAAGTGATGGTAAATTTGTAGAGATGTAATGAGTTGTCATCTACTCCTGACCCTATTTTGGAAGTATATTACTGTCTTTATAGATGGAGAGATGACAGAAAAGAAAAAGATTAGGTAGGTATAGTATAACACAGATCATCCTATCTTTAGGCAGAATCACCACTTGCAGCCATCACAGCATTACCTTTGTGAGGACGGATGTTATCAGTATTGATCAATGTTGAAATTATAGAGATATTTCACTGGGTTCTCCAAGAGCTCAATACCTAATATTATTCCTCTGTTTTATCCTGAAAAATGGTGGATTTTGTAAGTAATGGCATTCTTGGTAGTATTTATGTCAGAAATGGTACAAACTCATTTAAAGCTCAGAGGTGGTTCCAAGCCTTATCAGTTAGAGATATCAACCCCAGAGCTTCTGAAAAACGAGAGACAAGAATTCACCTCTTGTAACTTAGACAGTGCTGCTTAATATCCCAGTTTGAGATGGTAAGATGACATCCTAAATTGCCATACTCCATCTGCTTCCAGAGAGTGGGACATTTTACAGTGGAAATATGTGTAGATCATAGAAAAACAGAATGATTTGTGTTGGAAAGAACCCTAAAGATCATCTAGTTCCAACTCTCCTGTCATAGGCAGGGAAACCTTCCACTAATTCAATCACAATGATAGGTTTCATTCTAAACACCTTTTTCAGTTTAAAACCACTGCCCCAGTCAAGCAGGTCCTTGTCTTTCTCATCCTATGGGCCCTAGAGCTGGACACAGTACTCCAGCTGCATTCTCACAAGAGCAGAGTAGAAAAGAATCACCTCCCTCAACCTGCTGGCTACGGCATATGATTTGTTCTCTGGGCTGTGAGCGCACACTGCTGGCTCATACTCAGTTTTTAATCCGCTAATACCTCCAAGTCCTTCTCCTCAGGATTTCTGTCAGTTCACTCATCACTCATCTTGTATCCATGTTTGTGACTCTGTATTCCAGGTGCAGGACTTTGCACTTGGCCTTATTGAGCCCCATGAAGTTTGTACAGGCCCATCTCTCAAGTCTGTCAAGCTCCTTAAAGACATCCCATCCCTCCAGCATGTCAACCACACCACACAGCTTGGTATCATCAGCAAACTTGCTGAGGGGACCCTCAATCCCACTGTCTGTTTCCCCAACAAAGCTGTTAAAATAAAATAAAAAAAATATTTCTGTGTGCTGGAATTTATAGTAAGTATGAGGTCTACTATTGTGATAAAACCTTCACCTTTCTTAATATTTTTCTTCAGAGACATAAAAAATTCTTTTCTCTTTGCTTTCTGCTCCTCTTCAGGCATTCAAAATCTGTTTTGTAGATTTCCTCTTTAAAAAAAATAATTGAAGTTTATTCTAAATGAGAGAAATCTAGGCTTAAGAATTCTGGATATAAGAGTTCATTTAGTACTTGAAACTCAGGTGACAGGTCTTTGGAAATCAGTGTTTGAATAGAAATAATATTGAAATGTATTAAAAAAGTAGTTCTTGGGGAAGCAAAAATACTTTGTTGATGTTTTTACAATCAATAACTGGAGTTTTGAAGAAAACAAAATATTTACTGCTCAGTCCAGCTATATCAGTTTTTCCCTGGTACAGCAATTCCTATTAATTTAGCAAGAAAGGTTGTCAAATTTCATGTAAGTATAGAAATGAAGAATACAAAATCCTTTATCTTTAATATAACTTTGTTTGGACTTTTCTTTAGTTTCAGCTGTTTCACATTAATGGTTACCTTTTCTTAACTCCCAATAGTCCAGATGGAACACCTCATACCAGTGGGATGAAATTGAACATGGAGTCTCTTTGCAGAAATCTTTTCTGCTTGGAGTTGGTAGGTACTACATTTTTCATAAATCACATACAGGCCATACTAATTTTTCTTCCCCATGCGTCAAATATTTTTCCACACAGTTTACATATCTTTAACTCCAAAAAGAAGACATCATGTATTATGTGTTTAACTGAGAATAAAAAATAGAAAGAGATACCATCAAACTTCTGGACTAACAGTCTAAGGGTTTAAGTCTGCTTATAGTTCTACAAAGAGCATATTGGATTTAGTTTAATGGCACAATAAGAACATTTCCCACAGACATGTCACAGTTAATATCATAAAGTGGTATATAATATATCATAAGTATAAATGGTAAAATAATTGTGAGAAATTTACCTTATCAATTTAATTAATGTTATATATATTTTAATAACAGATTAAACAGTTGTGGAAAAGCCATTTATATTAATAGAATTTGGGTGCATTGTAAAGCTCCCCTGCACACCCAAGTACAATTACTTGTGATTAAAACAAAATATATTAGATAATTGTTGTTCAAAATTGGTATATTATCTTAAAATTGCTAAACACTAGCTCTGTGACCAATTTTATGTCTTCAAAGCTGATATATATGAGTTAATATCAGAATACTCTTCTTAATTTTGACTATTATGTCAGTAAATAAGAACGGTATACTTTCTTGTACAGTTTCATAAAATGTTCCCTTTTTTTAATGTTAGTGCATGCCAGCTTTTCGAGACTAAGATAGATATGAGTCCTCCATGCCGGATGTGTAACACAGGTAAGTGGAAAAACATCCAAAGCAATGTCTTGCCTAATTAAAGTTGATAATAAGAAGTATATTTTAAGAGTTGTGAAACTAGTGAACTAGAAAAGAAACATGGGTTATAAAGGTTACTTCTTTAAACATTAAGAGAAAAGCTGTCCAATTTCAAATTTTATTGACATTTGATCATAAAGCACATTAACAGCTAGACTGTTATAGAACTGGGAACATGTCTCATTGCAATATGAATGGTATCTTCAGTAATACATTCCACAACAGAAACACCCCTGAATGTCAGAAAGCTTCACATTCGGTGAGTTTTTAATGGACAGGTGTATTTTACGGTACATTTTTCCATTTATTGAGAGAACTGCCTATGGGTTGTGGGCAGAAGCTAAAGTGGGATCACAACTCACAGAAAGACATACATATACCTGCTGCAGAAAAGGAAAAAGTCTTCAAAATTTTTCACACAGAAACAACCTCTCTTCTCCCCTTCCACCCAGGTAGGTATCATGAATTTAGCCTAGTTAGCCTAACTGTTAGCAAAAAGCAGTGTAACAATCTTTTTTAGTAGAGGTAAACAAAATATAAAAATCCATCTGTTCCAAACAACAGAATATTTGAGTTCAAGGAGATAGATAGCCAAACTATAAAAGCAACCTGCTGATCATCAAGTGCAAACACGTCTTGGACTATCCGGAACAAGCAGACTCTGACACAATACTGACTGCAATTTGGAAAAAGAGTGTGATTTGATCAGACTAATCGTCAATGAGATATTTTCTACCCAGCCCTATAAATGAGGACAATAAAGAATACTCAGAGATGCCAGAGGAAGATATTCCAGCAGGGACCCAGAAAAAGGAGATCCTGTGAAACTGAAGGGAACCTGTGACTGTGCAGCAGGATTTGGGACCACGACCATGACTCCAACACCTCAGACCCTGTGGCCCAGTTCAAGAAATGCACATCACATAGCTGGGACTGCTTTGTTACATGAACACTGAGTAATTCATAAAGTTACATATATCTATGATTAAAGTATTTTGATATCCACATGCATTGAGTATCCACACCGTGGTTTGGTCTTAAACCACAAGAATTAGGTTTCCATTGCCTACTTCTTTTTTTTTTTTTACACTAATGAGAAAATTAAATGGGAATTTTAATAAGCAATGGTTCAAGATTTTCTGCTTTCCTGCTACATTAAGAAACACATCCATTACATTTTAGAGAGCTGCTGCTCTTTAGAGGCTGAAGAAGTGAGACTGAGCAGGGTCAGAGTATGCAGAACTACCTGCTCACTAGAACACTCCTCTGAGTGCAGCTTCTGCACCTCATCTGTGTTACAAGTAGTTGCCAGTACACAACCTTAACCTTGCAGAAAACATCCTAGCATCCTACTCAGGACTAGGCCAGGATTTCTGTCACCCAGCATTTCTCCTGGGCCTCTTGTGGGTTTAAGATATAATAATTATTCTGTGTACTTCTCCACATGTTCTGTTGCTCTGGAGAGCAGTGTAATGAAGCATGCCAAGCTAGGTTTTACTGCATGAAATGGAGGACCGTAGGCTTAATTCTTTGAAAGCTGAAAATGGAAACAGTACATGTTTCTGGAACACCTGTTTCTCTTTTTCAATTTCTTAATTAAGGTACAAAATTTGTCTAGAGTAGAAAACTTCAACGGAAGAAATTACCTTCTCCAAGAACAGAGCAAAATCTTTGATGAGGAATATTTTGACCTGATTAGACAGGTAGAAAAGCATGTATTTAAATTTTCAGTAAGGGACACATCCACTGGTAATGGAGGTGACTTAATTTTTTTTTTTATTTCCTTCCTACTCCTTACCATCTACATATCCAACAAAAAAAAGAAGTTCTAGTTTAGAGAACAGTGACCCAGTAAAAATGCAAATGAAAGCTTATGCCAAAAGTGCAAATACTCTGCCCTGACCTTTGAAGCACATTACCAACTTGTTATGAGAACTCACTACATGAACTTGAGCTTGGTACCAGGCGTCTCTTGTTATGATGTCAAATTTAAACACAGGATAATAGCAAGTGCCTTGAAAACGTATTTGAAAACAGAGGACCTAGACCTACAAACAACCCATAGATGGTCAATTAATTACTGGTCATTGAAGAAGTACAACGTTGACAGTGGAGAAAACACTGCTTTCAGCATACTAAAGAAAAGAAACAGATAAGCAAGAAAAAATAGCTGAGCAAAAGGACAAGGCATCTGCCTATGAAAGTAACACCCTCACTGTGCATTGCAGTCTAGTGGGCAGAGACTAAAGGCTAAAACTGCCAAGAAGCACAAACGTATAAAATGACAGGATTTGGAATGGGGGTATGGAGACAGAAGTATTTATAACAGGAATTGTTCCTGCAGAATTGATGTGAGATCACTGGAATAGTGAGGGAGCTGCCTTCTTTTTCTGCCTGCTCCAAGAGCAGCAGCTCTCCCTCTCTCTGCCTGTTGCAGGAGCCCTTCATTCTTTTGACCTGCTAAGGTTGTTGTCCAGGATTGTGCGTGGAAGGGTGTGGGAGGGTGTACATGTGCATTCACATGTGTGTGTCTCTCCTTCCCTGCAATTTCTATGTATTTCTTCTCTGTAACACTAACTTGCTAGTAAAGCCTTATTCCACATAAACAGTTCTATCGTTTCCTCCGCTGCCCTTTGCCTTACTCTGTTCTCTTCATGTATCCTCATATCATATAGTCGGACAGTGCCTAGACTATTTTATAACTATTTTATAACCTATTTTTTTGAATCCTAGCACCAGTCAAAATATTCTACGTGCTGTATGCCAGGAACATGTTAGGAATAGGTGACTGTATGTATATCTGTCAGTCAGTTCAGTATTTTCTAATCAGTGGTGTAACTACTATCCTAATCTTTGTCCTTGCTCCATTAATTTGAAAAATAATGACTTATTCTGTCACTTATGGAAGTTTGTTCCCTCCCTGGGGCCTAAAAAGATAATGCCTCATAAAGGTTACGACATCTTTATACACTTCATAGAATCATAGAATCATAGAATCAAGCAGGTTGAAAAAGACCTCTGAAATCAAGTCCAACCTTTTATCCAACACCACTATGGTTAGTAGACCATAGCACTAAGTGTCATATCCAGTCTTATCTTAAAAACCTCCAGGGACAGTGAATCCATCACCTCCCTGGGCAGCCCATTCCAATGTCTGATTACTCTCTTCGTAAAAAATTTCTTCCTAATATTCAACACAAACGTCCCCTGGCAGAGCTTAAGACCATGCCCTCTCGTCCTACTGCTGGTTGCCTGGCAAAAGAGACCAAACCCCACCTGGCTACAACCTCCTCTCAGGTGGTTGTAGAGAGTGATGAGGTCTCCCCTGAGCCTCCTCCTCTCGAGACTAAACAACCCCAGCTCCCTCTGCCTGTCCTCATAGGACTTGTGCTCCAGTCTCTTCACCAGCCTTGTTGCTCTTCTCTGGATCTGCTCCAGCACCTCAATATCCTTCCTGAACTGAGAGGCCCAGAACTGGACACAGCACTCCAGGTGTGGCCTCACCAGCACTGAGTACAGGGGAAGAATCACTTCCCTGGTCCTGTTGGCCACACTGTTCCTGATCCAGGCCAGGATGCCATTGGACTTCTTGGCCACCTGGGCACACTGCTGGCTCATGTTCAGCTTCCTGTCAACCCAAACTCTCAGGTCCCTTTCTGCCTGGCTGCTCTCCAGTCACTCTGTGCCCAGCCTGTAGCGCTGCATGGGGTTGTTGTGGCCAAAGTGCAGGACCCGGCACTTGGCCTTGTTGAACCTCATCCCATTCTAATCAGACCATGTCTCCAGTTAGTCCAGGTCCCTCTGAAGAGCCCTCCTGCCTTCCAGCAGATCAACACTCCCCCCCAGCTTGGTGTCATCTGCAAATTTGCTAATGGTACACTCAATCCCCTCATCAAGATCATCAATAAAGATATTAAAGAGAACTGGGCCCAACACTGATCCCTGGGTGACACCACTAGTGACCAGCTGCCAACTGGATGCAGCACCGTTCATCACCACTCTCTGGGCCCGACCATCCATTTGTCCTTGACTTCATTTGTCTTAAATCCATTTTCTCTTTTTTAAATAAATCTGACATAGAAATTTGATGGTTATGTGGATATTTCAGCAGCTCATTTTCAAGGGCAAGACAATCTTGCAATTACAAATAAGAAATGCTAAATGAGAGGTAACTAATATAGTCAAAGGGAACATGTAGGATTTACCTTTACTTAGGAAAATATGATTAAAAATGCAACAGCAGATTTCACAGGAAGTTAAAATAGTATCACAGAAGGTATGAGCTTTTAAGAGATATGACATCCCTGGTTTGTAGTGAGCTCTCTTGCTAGATTCTAGCCAATACATATTTTTGATTTTCTTATGTTTTTCCTCTTTCCCATTTCAATGAAGGTGCAATATTTTACTGCGATTGAATAGGGTAAAGATTCCCAATAGTGAAATCTATTACATGGTGACACAGTCTCCAAAGGAAAGTAGTAGAAGCTTTGTTGCTAAGTACATTTAAGTCTAGATGAGACAAAGCACTGGAAAATATTCTTTAGGGAACAATCTAGTGACTACATGAAATAGAAGACAAAATAGCTATTTTCAGCTCTTATTTCTACCATTAACATCCGTGTTACGGTATGAATTCAAGATTGTTGTTACAGAGCTGCTAGAATGAGTTTAATAACATAAAAACATCTATATTTTGCAATATTTTACTCATTATTATAGATTCCAGGGTTAGTAATTTAACCATACTTTAAAGAAAGTATACAATAATAAGGACTAAGCCGTAGCCAAAAATATCCATCTGATTCTAAGTGGTTGTTTTTCACACAGCAACTAGAAAATCACATCAACAATCTGGCTATACTTCATAATCATAGATTCTGCCTAAGAATAACAATTCAAATAGTGCATCAATGAATACATCCACTGATTTTCTAATTGACTGGAAATGGACAATGGAGATAGAAATAAAATGCTTTCAAATAAAACATGTTGATGTACCAAGATAATCCTTTACTGACATAAGTATAATGCTAGTCTATATTAACTGCAGGGGTGGTGGTAGAAGGATCTGGAAAGAACACTGTTAGAAAACATGTAGATCTCATCCAAAGGGAACAATGTTTACAATTTACTTTACAATGGGATCTTTAAACTTCTTATTGTTGGGGGGGATTATAGTCTTTTTTTTTTCTTCTTTTTTTTTTCTTATGATTTCCACTTGTATTTGAGATGAATCATTGAAATGATTCATCTGCACTTATAAATAATGCCATCTAAACAACTAATAAATGGAAATGTGTGTCAATGCAGCATTGGAATTCTGCTAGCTTTAATGTCCTGATACATAGAAACACACCAGACATTAACCCAGGTGCTCTGTCCCTCCCACTCCACAACAGGAGAGGGGGAGAAAATAGTGCGTAAGATAAATAAAGAGATATCACTTATCAATGAACAAAATAGACTTCACTTGAGCAAGAGTCCATGAAAATTATCAGGGGGCTGGAACACTTCTCCTTTGAAGAAAAACTGAGAGAATTGGGGTTATTTAGGCTTGAGAAGAGAAGGCTCCAGGGAGACCTTATAGCAGCCTTCCAGTACTTAAAAGGGGGCTTATAAGAAAGATGAAGAGAGACTTTATACCAGGGCCTGTAGTGATGGGACAAGGGACAATGGTTTTAAATTAAAAGAAGGTAGATTAAGACTGGACATAAAGAAGACAGTTTTTATGATGAGAGTAGTGGAACACTGGAACAGGTGGATGCCCTATCACTGGAACTGTTCAAGACTAGGTTGGGTTGGGATTTGATTAATGTGAACTAGTGGAAGTTGTCCCTGCCCATGACAGAGGGGTCAGACTACATGATCTCTAAAGGTCCCTTCCAACCCAAACCATTCTATGATCTATGATGAGACACACTTCCTC